CTCAGTGTCTGAATTAGTGTTCAGACATGTATCTGGTCCGTGCTGCACTAGTCCTCTGGTATATTATTAATCCTCCTGATTATCTCTGTGTAAGTAAAGATGGATCCTTGTGTCGCAGCGGGTTAATCAGGGTTTAAAAAAGCCGGGGTTAAAGCATTTACCGCATCTGAGGATGTCCGTCATGAAATTGTGCGCAGGCCTGATACTTTGGATTGGTGGTGTAGGTTAAGTCATGTTGCACGGTGGACGAGAAAGCCTCTTACACTGATGCTTCCACGCAGAGTGGCAGCTCTGTGCTCTCTGCGTCATGCATCTTTTTTTAATCTCATTTCGCTGTTTGAGTTGGAAACAAAATTTACTGTCTCTTCTCATAATAGCCACTGCAAACTGCTGAAATGGGTCTCCGTGGTGTATGGATGCCATTATTAATGATGATAAAACTGTTTAAAGCTGTAATTATAGTTGAGGATATACAGCTGTGCTGAGGAATAGTCACAGGACACGTTTTGTTTGCAGTTTGGACACAAATCTAAAACTCCTGGCTGCTTTCTGACTCCTCAGACCCGTGACACTGAGCGCCAGAGCCCATTTCATTCTAATGACGAGCTTAACCTTTAAAACTGTTAGGTAAGTTCTGTAAACAGCTGTAGACTTTAGTTTTAGCAAACATTAGTCAGACGGGAGGACGTCGCTGGGTACTATTTTCAGCTGAGCATGAAGACGGAAGTTTAGTGCCAGTGGGTTCTTACAGCTGCAGGATGATGATGTCTATGGGATTGACTGGAAAATGAGCCGATGCTGTACGTTAATGCGAGATTAACGTACAGCTGTGGCACTGAGGAACATGAGATCGCTTTAAATATACTCAGACGTTACGTATTAGTTGGATGAATGTATTGTTTCTGTTGTTTCTATGGGAAAACTTTAAAAATGGCTTATTATATACCTTTCTTTGCCTTCTGCTGTTTAGATGAGATAAGATGAGCTTTATTGACATTTCAGGAAAATGGAAGCGCTGCTGTACTTGATGAGAAGATTCCAAACACGAGGTCAGCGTACATCACACACAGTGTTTTTGTGCTCGTGACTCTGGATGATGTCGCTGAGAGCAGATAACTCACCTCCTGTTCAAACCTTTGGTTTGTAAGAGGCAGCCAATCACAAGGAAGGGCTCAAAGGCAGCTAAAACAGCTTGATTGAGGCAGCAGATCATTATTCATGAGTCCAAAAAAGATGTTTTGAACTGTGGATCATGCAAAGCTGTGTCTGATTAGCAGCAGCATCACCTTCAGAGAAGTATAACATCCTGAATTACATCATGAGCTCACAGATATCGTTTGTTTATTGTAAAGTGTAGCATACGGCATCTTTGGAAAAACACTGCTGACCCCATTTTAGTTTGAACACTCTGGGAATGCATTTTCACTATCGGGGGGAATGTGGCACACGCCCCTGCTGCCATTACTTGACCATTTTCCAGATGAAAACAAATTTACTGCAGACAGCAAATTACCGGCATTGCTGACTTTATTTCCTAAGCATTCTCAAGCACAGCAGCACGGACAGCAGTGAAACGGTGCCAAAGTGAATGTATAATGAACGTGTCGCCGTGGATGTGGAAGAATCAGCGTAACAGTACAACCTGTTGAAAGTGATGAGATCTGAAGGCTCAGCGTTCATGTGAACAAAGCTCATAGATTGAATCTAAACTGAGGGGAACACTAAAGTGTAGTGTAGGTTATGTCAGGATATGTGTGATGTTTCGTCATGTAGTGAGGAGTGTATGCAACTTTTTTTTAAAAATATCTCCCATTTCGAAGTGAGACCAGCCCCCACAGCTTATATAACACAGGAAACAGATGTTAGCAACACACAGTCATCCCTCTCGCACTCTGTCTCCCCCTTCTTCCCCTTTTTGTCTTTTACTCACATCCTGATGCGTCCCAGGCAGGTTGCAGTTTGTGTAAAACTCTGTTGAAAATAAACACCAAACTACTTGAACGCTGGTTGTAAATTCAGTCCTAATGGTTCAGCTTGTGCACACGCCTCCTGCCTCCATACATCTGGATTAGGAAATGTGGCCGCCCTCTAATAATTTGGCAGCTTTGCTGAAGCACAAATTTTCAGTACAAGTTAATGGAGCTGAAAGAAATGCAGGAGGGTGACAACTGTAGATTTGGTTTATTCTAATGAACAGCGTGTCACACATCCTGTTTTAAGGTTATTTTTGCAGCGTTAAATGAGTTAGAGAATGCAGGCCGTACACATAACCACTGTGGTACATGAGTGGGAATTAATAACAAACAACATTCAAATTTGACATCTAAATTTAGCTTTCAGTGAATTTTAGAGTATTATTTCATGTTTTCACACTGATGCATTCAGGAGGTCATGAGTAAAGTACCAGAAAGGGGATGCAGACCCCTCTGTACCCTCCACCTGTGGATGAACTGATAGGACAGCACAATTTGGAAACAGCGGGTGACGCACCCTTGTTTCAGCCGTGCACTCGAGTGTTTAAAAAATGTAGGAGAGAGGAAACGCATGAAATTTCTAGATTGGAATATTTTTTTAATCTGTGTGGTATCAGATCTGAAAATTCACAAAATGTAACCCCCTTTCTTTGCAGATTTGTTAAAAAACAACAAAAAAAGTCCTTTTCACCTTCTCCAGCTTCCAAGATTATGATGCTTGTTGCCAAGGCGACTGTTCTAACCCAGGTGGCGGGCCCTTCCTGTGAGATGCGCCCTGTGATTGGCCTATCGACAGATAGGCTACAGATTAAGCATTTTGATTGGCTCGCTGGCTGGTTGGCAGCGGCGGGAGCCCCAGCAGACAGAGATTCTGGAGAGAGCATTGATTCAATCGGCTGGCAGACAGTAGACACACACACTCACACACATACATAGAGGTATATATACAAACGCGGGCGAGCTGGAGGTGCAAGGGGAAATTTGGCCCAGTGGGGGTCACCTCTGTGGGAGCGAGTGTATGTGTGTGTAATATCATGCTCTCCAGGAGAGGCGTTGCTGGCAGTAATAGAAGCACTCCCAGGAGCACACCACGCTGGGTAATATCACACTCCCCAGGGAACTCGTCATACACACATTCTCACACACACACACAGAGCAGAACAAGGCACATATGGCCTGTGTTCAACACGACTGACATACTAATGCAAAGATCCAGACGGGGGGACACAAATCAACAGTGCGCACACATCCTATTAGCTTCTTGCATTCTTACAAGGTCGGGAGCTGCAGCAGCCCGTAGCACAGTTTTTGACTCTGTGGACATCTAAGGATGAAGAGCCACGCAGAGAAACACAAGAGGTTCTGCACGGTCACCGCTCGGTGGAGATGATGGAGCCTGAAGGATAAAGTTGGATATCAGACGTGATTGTGAAGTTTAGAACCTGTGCTGCAAGACATCATATATTGGTGTTTTTTGGTTAGTGTATATGTGACCTGCTGCTCTCATGTTTAACCGCAGCAGAGCTGTAGGAAAGCAGGTCATACAGCATCGCAGGAAATTTAGTTCATCGCTCCCTCGCCTTTGCGTCCTGTTTTTCAAATAAATGTTTTCATTATGTGAAGTGTAAAAAATACATACGTTTCACATGTAGGCCTGATCAGGAACCTGAGAGGAAAAGCTTTCTCGTCGAATTTCTTCTGACAAAGGAGGGAAAAAAGACTGAAACTTAAGAGAGCTCTGTACACTTTTCCAGTTAAGTGCAGAGGCATTAGCCACTATTTGCAGCTGCTTCTTTCATGTGTTATCTGCAGATTTGATCGGGTGCTACAACCAAATATCCAACTCCAGCCGACATCCTGTCATTTCCTCCTGATTTAAATATTCACATATTAGTAAAATCTTCTTTGACAGACAAATCTTTGTTGAATATATTAATTAGAGGTTTTATCAATACCCTAAACCGGGGTGATTTGCATAGTGGTTTGTGTACCACTACAGATAAGAGGTTGACCCTCTAATGTAGCAATATGGTGATTATTCAATCCTTAATTAATATTCGCCTGCATAACTGTGATATTTCCCTCTTTATAGATTCATGGGCTAGAATTAGGAGATTGTCAGGAGTGGACATTAAAAAGGGGCGGGGGAAAGATGCTGGGGTGTTGTAGAAACTGCAGCATCTCATAGTTTGTCCAGCAGAGCGGCTCCAACGCTTGTTTCTGATACATTATCCTCTTAGAGACATTTCCTCAAAGTGCCATCACTAACAGGGAAAACTATTTGGCAGTAGTGGCTTAAACCTGTTTTATGTCTGGTGCTTGTTTCTCCAGGTGTTTACTGATTGGTTCCCCCCACTTCTAAAATAAAGCCTGCATCCTTGATTTCCTTTCATATCGACTGAAAATCAGAAGCCCGGAGTCCCGTCGTCTTCCCACCCATAGCCTGTACCTTTTTTTAATATCACAGAGCACTATAAACTGAGTTGAGGACGACACCTTAAATTTTTGTTTTGTGCGTTCCTCCCCAATCTCTGCCTCTGTCTCTACCCCCACCCACCCAGTTTTTCCAAATTCAGATGACAAGGCAGATGAAAGCATGCTGAAGGCTCTGAGAGACAGAGACAGTCTATTTTCATGGCACCCTTCTCTATAATCTATAGGCTGGCTTCACTCAGGTTGGGGGGCCGACAGCTTCATTAGGTGAGGGGGGGGAGCCGCTTTGATCTAAAAATACGCACCATCTGGAATGGAGAAAGTTAAAGAGTTTGCCTACGTCCTCATCAGAAAGAAGCTTCATGATTTCTTTTTCCATAAAGACGGACAGGAAAATGCGGAGCAAGGTGGCTTTGAGGATGTTTTACTTCTCGTTCCTCTGAGTTTTATCTTCCTTGGGAATGCAGGATGGCTGTGTGTGCACGTGGTTTGGTAAATAGGAATCCTGTGAAAGGCTGAAGTTGAGCTTTGGGCTGCAGTCATTGTTCTTCAATAACAACTTTCTCCTCTTCGTTTTTTCTTGCTGTCTTGCAGAGCATAGGCAAAGGCTCTTTGTGGTCCATAGATCCAGAGTACAGGCACAACCTGATCCAGGCTCTGAAGAAGACGCCGTACCATCCCTACTCGCCCAGCCTGACCACCCCCTCCACCTCCCCACCCACCCTACCGCAGACATTTCACCACAGGTAAGACGGACCCTCTTATCCACTGACTGAGTGAATCTCGGCCGGTTAATTGATAAACCCGTCGACAGGGAGGGGATGCTGCCAGACTCTCGTCATGCGTGCCTCTCTGAAGAGACTTTAGAGAAATGAACACGTTCAAGAGAATTTGTGGCAGCCACCTGTTCAAAGGTATCATGTACTTGTCGTGTTGAATTGTCTCTTAGGTATGAATGAAATTCAGCGGTGTTCCAGAAATGTCATCCAGAGTCCCGCACATGCTTAAAGTGTTTAACTCTGCTTTTTTCAGCATCTCTCTTCATTCTGTCTTTATTTCTGTTCCAGTCTTTGCTGCTGTGATATTATTTACATTGTCTACGCCATAACATATGAGTTCCTTTACTTAAAGTAGTGAAGCACAGTATATTTAATATACCAAACAAAACAGCTTAAATGATAAGTCAAATGATCTTAATATAACGGGATAACAGCGGAACTTATTTTAGGTTTAATGTGCCTAATGTTGGAGCAACACTGATATCGGCTGATGTTCATATTTGAGCTAAAATATCGAACAGATTTTATGTGCTACACGGCGCTCAAAAATCTGTAAAACAAATGTTTTTTTAGCACGACTTTGGTAGCTACGAAGCCGCACCGCACAGCATTACGGCTACTGTAGTCAGGAGCCTCGCGGAGTAATCTGGGTCCTAAACTCCGTCTGCTTCAGGTCCCAAAGTCAAACGAACACTGAGAGTTAAAAACGGTCTAAATTCTTTCATCTTTAACAAAATGATCAGCGTTGCTGCTTTACCAGGTGTAACAATGAAGTTTAACATCCAGGCATCCATGAAAACAGAAGTTATTACATTTAACAGAGTTAGAAGTTAGCAGGAAGTTAGCTCGCATGATATAGCATGTTCTGAGCATGACTGAGAGATTTCTGGAAACATTTAAACGTACAGCTCTGCTACCACTTCCAAATGAAGACAGGAAACTAAACAGCAGTGACGTTTGTAGGGTTACTGAAGTTGGGCTAGCTGGTATATAATGATGTGCTATGTGATCGCTAGCGACACAGCTATGTTAGCATAACATAAACACAGTGAAGCTGGAGGATGAACTAACACTTTTCCACTTATAAAAGTTAACGTGAAGGTTCCTGATGGTTAGAGACAAATGCAATCGCATGGCAGGATGCTGTAAACGGACCAAACTTCAGTCAGGAGAACAACTGAGATAATCCATCCACAATACGAGGTTAGTCATTAATATACTGCAACAACATGGGAACAGAGCAGCTGCAGAGAATTCAACATTAATGAATCAATGTTACGGAAGTGGAGGAAGCAAGAAGAATGAGTCGACTTATCTGACTGTTTTGTTTCACTTAATGCGCCTTATAATCTGAAAAATATGGTAATCAAGTGTTGCACCTACCAGCTCAAATTCATTGACTCCTTATTGCAGCTGAAGACATCAAAAGTGCGTCTAGTGTTTAAGTTTGTCAAGTTTCTGAATAATTATGTTATAATTGAGATTAGAGTAGCAATCACACTAATCGTTGTTATTGTTTTTCCTAAACTCAAACAGCTTTACTGTACTACTTCCTGCCCTACTAACCACAGAGGAGAAATCAGTCATCTCTAAAATATGAAACTCAGGGATAAAATGCATTTAGTCAACTAGAAATATTCGATTTTGCTGTGTCACAGGATTAGTTTAGTGCCCTGTCTGAGTCTTTGTCCCCGTGGCTAATTGCTTGGGAAAAGTCAGCACAGCTTTCAGCCGCACAAACAATGGAAACCACCTCACACAGTGGCCACAATCAAAAGATGAGCAAATAAACTATTTGAACTTAAACATTAACAATCTCTAAAGTCTTTGGTGTCGGCTGTTTATTAGTTTTTCTGTTTCCTAATTCCACACAGCACCTCAACCTCTCTCTTTGTTTGACTCTTTCTAAAAAAGTCGTGGATACTCTGCAATGAAAGGCTGGAAACGGGAGCTTTTTATGAATGTGCGTGCCACTCGGTGGGTTCGCTCTTTTGTTTCACAGTTTTCTAAGGAGGGAGCCATGGCTGTTTACTCGTGGAATGAAAAAGAAAGTTCTCTGGGTAAATTATCCGGAGAGAGATAAGTTCATTCTCGTAGTATTTATCTGATGTAAGTGGATCTCCGAGAAGCAAATAAAGAGCAAATGAAATGGGGACTTCGGTGCCAGCATCCACATATAACATAAAGCCTGCACTCTCGTCTGCTTGCTTACTCTCTCCATCCTCTCCCTCCATCTGTTACTCTTCACACCCACTCTCTCCAGGCGTTGTATACCTGACCTGCACCATCCTTTCCTTAAATCTTTTTGCATGCTCTTTTGATGCAACAACACTTCTGTCCCTCCTCCTATCTCCCTCCCCCCTCAGGCACATCACAGGTAAAAAGCCTTTTTTCTCCCCCCCTCCACCTCACTCTTTCCTCCCCCCTTGTTTTGCCTTTCCTCTGCTCCTACTGTGCCTCTGTTCCACTCATCTCGCTCTCTTGTCTCCTCTTTTAATATCCCACACACCCTCCTGCTCATCCTCAGGCATGCATTACAACTAGTGGGGCACCCAGTACTCCATCTTCTTTATTTATCCCTGCTGTGATTTATTCCCTCTCTCTCCCTCTCCACTCTTTTCACTCTCTCTCCATCACTTTATCATTCAATTAAATTCCCCTTTGTCTACATTCACTTTATTCTCCGACTTCTCGCAGCCTCCCCCCAAACACACACACATCCCTCCACAGTGCGGCGGCATCCACCTGTGTCGTTTCCTCCACGTCTCTCTTCTCTCCTGACCTCACCTCCTTCCTCCATCCTCTCAGTTTCCAGCACCTTTGCCCATCCCGACTGATACGTCAGAGAGAGCTGCTATGAGTTGCTTTATTTTTTAAATATTTTTCATTATTATTGTTTCATTTATCCGCTCCTTCTATTTTTTGTCTCTCTGCGACTACACAGCCACTGCCAGCCCTACAACCCGCTCCACGGTTGATCCGGGTAGGTTGGCTTGCAGAGCCAGTGGACTGTGTAAGACAGAATAATTGGTTCACCGTAAAATGTAAAAGTGTCATTTTGAACAATGAGGTATGTGGAAGTGGAACAAATTGGAGGCTGGATTTGGAACATGCACGGGAGGGCGGAGGGGTGCAGGGAGAGGTCGGAGTGTGGAGGGGTAGTTGTTCATTTGCATCGTGGCACACAGCAGGAGATGAGAGTGTGTTTCTCGGTTTGAGCCGAGCTGCAGGTCCACTGAGACGCTGCACCTGAAGAGCATCCCCCCGTATCTGTGTATGTCCAGTTATTTCATTGCTTAATCCCAGTTTCGATGTAAGCTGATGCCTGTGAGCGCTTTGTTTTCTCTGACAGTTACTGGAAAAACTCAAAGAGATTTGAGTGATATAAATCAGGGTACTGCAGCACAAGAAGACACCAGAAAACAGTGGACGCGGTGTTGTGAAGAATAAATGAGACAATTCAACAGGTTATTGTGATTCTCCGAGTTTTCAGTATGAAGTTAATAAGAATTCACTTATTACTGGTGAGAGGAAATGATGAGATTTATACGTTTCCCTCCAGTTCTGACCTCTGATTCAACAACATGAATATTTGTTATAATAATAGACAAGTTGTTGGTGTGCTTTAGACAGCAGTTGAATGTAAATGCACAATCACAGCATGCTCTCCACTCTGGACCTGCTGGATCAAAAAGTTCATAAAGACTAAAAACTAAAGCTTTACTCAATATAAGCACTTTGGAAAGAATTTATTATTAGTGTTTAAACAGACTGGTGTGAAATGAAAGAGTTCAGAGGTCAAGAATTATTAATATTTCCGTTCATAGCAGCAGAAGAACAAGCAGACAGAAAGAAATGGTCACAAATGGCACGTTTTTCCTTGTTAAAAAGACTGTATATAAAAGATGGCACTATCACCTTGACATCACAATCTTGTTCTGTGGAACAACATGTAACATACCCGTAAGCAACGTTTACATTACAAGCTTTCCACGCTGTAAATCAAAAATAAGGCTCAGGGGCCAAATTAAGCCCAGCAGAGACACCAAGCTGGTCCACTGAACAACAAGTTTTACAACCTTTTATTACAGGTTTAAAGCATATTGACTTCACTTTGCAGAGAGGAAGATGACACCTTATCTTTCTAGTGTTTTTGACCTTGGATACCAATTTCATGAAAAAACAGGCAACTCAGGGTAAAGTTACGAATCAACAAGGGCTTTGAACTAAATAAGCCATTCTTCACTATATGCACAGAGTCAGTGGTTGTTATGGCGATGGATCTGTCAGTGTTTCTCACTCGTTTCGCATTAAAACAAAGCGAGCTCTACTTGCAGATGCAGATCGTGTGCCTTTAAGTTGGATTGCAGTTTCACCCTCATCTTCTATCACAAAGATGAATTATTAAACATTACTTTAGATTTTTTGTGCGTGTGTTTTATCAGAAGTGTAGCGCTACCGTTTCACTCTGAAAAAGGTGCTACGTTACGTCTTTCAATGTCTGGCATTAGCTTTGTCCTTTATATGTATCCTGGAACTCAAGTCCAATCAATATAACACAATATCTCTCTCAACAGCTCTCACGCTCAAGAATATTATGTTATGAAGTGTAATGACCGTGAATGGTTGCACAGCATGTCTATTATGTTAAGGTCAAGGACTGTCTCAAGCCGCTCTATACAGCACAGAAGTGGGAGATGAACACGGGGAGTGATAGAGATAGATAGGAGGAAGTGGCTGAGAAGGGTTGTGGGGTGGGGTGGAGGGGGGGTGTAGCTGGAGTGCGGTGACGCTCCTTTGTCCTCTGCTGTTTGTCGCTCGCACCTCTCGCCTTTTCATGGCTATAATAACTCACACCACAACAGCCAGCCCCCACGTGCTGTGTGTGTGTGTGTGTGTGTGTGTGTGTGTGTGTGTGTGTGTGTGTGTGTGTGTGTGTGTGTGCGTGTGTGCGCGCGCCCAGGCTGTCTAATTCTGATGGTGTGCGATAGTGGAAGGAGAAGGAGATGACTATGCACTCTGACAGACCGTTCATCCTTATCTACATCCTATCAACTGTGTCTCAACTCGAGGCTTCCTATTAAAAAAAACCCAGAAACTCACCCAACATCACATGTTTGCAGTTTTTAGGAGAAACTTTATTGTTTAGTGATAAAGAAGACAGCTTAAGAAAACTTGTGTGAAATGCGGTTTCCTTTCTGATGCAGTTCTCCCCCAGTGAGTTTAGAAGCACTCTTTAGTAATAACTGTTTGTTCTTTAAGCAGGAGACCTAAAAGAAAGATGAAAACAAAGGAAGGATATTTTATCATTTTTGAACTGTGATTTCTTTTTTCTGTTTGGAAACACAATCATAACTTGAAGGTGGAAAGTTTATTCCGCTTTGAAGTAAAACCTCTCTGCCTTGTTTTTGTCATTTCTTTTAGCTGCCACTAGATGTAATTAAAGAGCCATGTTATACTTAATGCAGTCTGAGGTGCATATTTAAAGCTATTAGTTTAA